AGCGAGTGGGTCACCAGCTTATTGCTTAGAACAACCAGAACCGTTTCACCTGCATTTGGGCTTTCAAAATGACTTGCCGCGATCAAGCTCCATGCGCTTCCTTCTTGCAGCGCACAGCACAAGTGACCCACATGCGGGTGGGTCACCAGAAAACTGGTTGCGACAAACTACCCGTTTCACTTGCATCCTGCTGGGCCTCAGCATTAGTTGGCGCATTCGTTATCCACACGCTTTCCCAGTGCAGCGCGCGCCGCACAGGTGACCCACCAGCGGGTGGGTTACCCGAACACTGGTTGAGAAAAACACACTGTTTCACTGGCGGTCTGGGCCTCCACATGAGTTGGCGCATTGTTACTCCACGCGCTTCCTTCGTGTAGCGCGCACCACACAGACGACCCGAAAACTGGTCGAGAAAAACATGAGCTGGCGCAGTCGTGCTCCACACGCTTTCCGTGTAGCGCGCACCGCACAGGTGACCCCCCAGCGGGTGGGTCACCCGAAAAATGGCTGAGAAACACTGAGTGCTTCATTTGCTTTCGGCCCTGGCCCGTTGCACATGGAACACATACGCGAGGACGCGGAAGCCAAGCGCCTGACGCGTGATCCGGCATCGAATGCCACGCGGGTGCGAGGAGCTCGCGGCGGCGCCAGGCCCATCTGGCACCGAAGACTCCCGAGCGCGCAAAACGGACGCCAAAACGCGCACGCTCGCGCACGCGCGCACGCAAATACTTCGCCCCAATAAAGCGTACACTCCTTACTCGTCGACCGAAGCCGCCTCTGTCTCGAGGCCAGCGCAAAATCGAGACGCGCTTGCCAGCACACGCGAGTGCATATGTACGCACGTGTGTACTTCTTACACATGTATATAACAAATATCTGTGTATTCTACATAGATATAGCAGCGTTCCTTGTCCAGACCATGAGGAACAATTGAACACTCTGCGAATTAATGACACTCGGGATCGGGGGAGTCATCACTTTTAACAGGTTCTGGACATTCTATGTAGAGAGGATGAGGATGAGTAGCTGGAGGAGTACGCTGAGAAGGCAAAGCCAAATAGGACGAATATGACCAGGGGGAGGGTACCGACGTGCCGGTGAGAAGCACGCCAGAACATAGTAGTGCAACGAGGGCCTGCAAACCTCCTGTTCCCCAGCCGCTCCTCCTTGCCTCGTCGACATCAGATCCCCCCCCGCTCGTCCTTCCTTTGCTCGAGTCTGGAAGAAGAGCAAACTGCTTAAGCATCAACCATCGGGGCCCCGCGCGGATTCCTTGGACCCGCGCGAGACCCCCCTTCCTGGCGCGCGGAAAGGGCCAAGCGCGGCGCAAGAGGCGCCACCAGGGGGGTGCCCAGTGCAGATTCCGAGACCTCCGCGCAGAATCCGAACAAGTTGCCGTCTGCTCGGGGAGACGTGCGGATCGGCTTCGGGGAACGCAGGGTGGCCTGACGGGGCCGTCAGGGAAGTGAGGAGACCCAATCTGAAATCTGACGCGAGCGCCAGCTGCAAAGGTCCCACGAAAGCTGGGCCGCCAAGGCCCAAGACGGGCTCTCCCAGAATCGTCGTCAAGCGGCGACTCCGAAGGGTGTGGTTTGCACAGGCTGCGGTTTGCAACGCGCGCCCTGGCATGCGGGCGAAGACTTCGACAGATTTCTCCGCCGCGCCCCGACGGGGCCCTACGAGGGCAGCGTGGTGCTCCCCCAAGCTCGGCTACACGTAAGAGTGACCCTGGGTAAGAGTGACCTTGCGCGGCTCTGGGGGGGCCGCGGGGAGGCCAAATCCAGGCGCGCTGGCCGCTGCTGCCGCTTCGCGTTCGGCCATCTGGGGGCCCAGCTGTGCCCGCACCAAAGGTCACTCCGGCGAAAGGCCACTCCAACGTTTACGTCGGGCACTGTCCCCCTACAGGGGGATTTTCGACGAAGAATAAAAAATACCCCAAACATAGTCCAAACATAATCCAAGAATAGTCTGGGGACCATTTTTCTAATATTTGTTTACCTTTTTGGCGCATGTTTGAAGAATTTATTGTTTTATTTTTCGTCGACAATCCCCCTGTAGGGGGGCACGCCCGACATAACCCCACGACGCAGATCGCAGGCCACACCCCGGCACAACCGCACCCTCTGCTGCCGCCGAGGCGGGCCCACGTGCCGGCGGACTCCGAGTCTTGCGCGTTCCCCTGGTGCGTGCCGCCTGCTCAGGGCGAGAAGATCATGATGAGCTTTGCCCGACGAGGAAGAGGGGAAGGAGGCACCCCTCCGCCCTCTTCCTCCTCCTCCTTCTCCTCTTCCTCCTCCTCCTCCTCCTTCTAGTCCCTCCGCCCTCCTCCTCCTTCACCTCTCATCCACGTCCTCCTCCTCCTCCTCCTCCTCCTCCTCCTCCTCCCCCCCCTCCTCCTCCACCTCCTCCTCCTTCTCCTCTTCCTCCTCCTCCTCCTCCTCCTTTTCCTCCTCGACGCTTTTGCCAGCCCTGTATTGAAACTTGCACAGGAAAGCAGATCCCTGGTGTACACGGGATCCTGGCGTATACATGTTCGATGCTTCCCCTGGAAGCGGAGAGAGAAGCATACACAACAGCACCCCGACGCCCTCCCTGACCCTGAGGAAATCCAGGGATTGAAGAACAGCCCGCCACTGGTAATGTATATGCCCCAGTTTCCAAAGAGACACGCTCCAGGATTACCAGGGCATCCAGCGGCGCAGCCGGTGCGGGACGTCAGGAACCATGGGGACCCCCGGGAAACCTTGGGAGTCCTGGAGCATCGTGATGCCTCTCGCTCCTCTGATTGCTCCTCCAGGAGGAGGGGGGGAGGGGGGGGGGGGGGGAGAGGGCCCGCGCCGCGCGTCAAAACAGGGAATGGGGAACACGATCACCGATTGCTCCTCCTCGACCCCCCCCCCAAACCGGGCCAGCCTCGAGACGCCCTCCACCTCGGAGGCGAAGGCCGGGCTGAGCCAGCGCCAGGTCATCGACACCCGCCGCGCGGAGAGGCGGGGCACCTCGCGGGCGGCGCCCGCGGGCGGAGGAGGGGCGGGAACGACAACGGCGTGGTGGAGCTCGATGCGCGATCGCACTGCGGGCAGGTCCTCGCGCACGCGGCGTGCCGCTCGGGGCGCGAGGAGGTGGGGGAGGGGAAGGACGAGGGGGAGGGGAAGGACGAGGAGAAGGGGGAACGGGAGATAGGAAGGGGGAGGGAGGGAGGGAGAGGCAAGCTAGGTGCGCTCGCGCAGTCTTTGACATTCTATCCCTCCCTCCTGTCCCTGCCCGTTACGCTGATTGTTTTTCTATCCGCGGACGCGTGTCGTAGCCGACCTGAACTCCAAAAAGACCCCATCGTGTTATGCGCAATCGGAACAAGAAGCTGAGGAGGAGGAGGAGGAGGAGGAGGAGGAGGGAGGGAGGAGGGAGGAGGGAGGAGGAGGAGGAGGAGGGAGGAGGGAGGAGGGGAGGAGGGAGGAGGGAGGAGGGAGGAGGGAGGAGAGGAGGAGGAGGAGAGAGGGAGGAGGAGGAGGAGGAGAGGAGGAGGAGGAGGAGGAGGAGGGAGGAGGAGGAGGAGGAGGAGGAGGAGGAGGAGGAGGAGGGAGGAGGTGGTAGTGGTGGTGGTGGTTGGGTGGGGGGAGATTTAGGTGCTCGTTCTGGGGACCTTCCTGGAGCCACTCGCTCCACTGACGAGTCGATGCTGCGTCGAACGTCAGTCGGCTTGAGTCGTGCTTGAATCGACCTCGAGTCGAGCTGGAGTCGAACGTTGTTCGAACTGCAGGAACTGTAGTCGAACACATCCGTTTGGTGGGCCCTAAGAAGGTCCCCCAAGCGAACATACAAGGAGAGGGGGTTGGGAGGCAGCTTCTTGGAGGTCTTCGCAAAAACGGGCAAGCCAGTAAGCCCGATGAAGGGGCCATTGGCCCCTTCATCGGGCGGGGGTATCGCAGATGTTGCTCGTCCTCGGCCACGGGTATGCCAGCGCCCATGCTGATCGTATCCTGACGCGACGGGGGTGGAGCAGGGGCATGGATTTAGGTCGGGCGTGTCCCCCTACAGGCGGCTTTTGGACGAAAACTCAAAAGTAGTCAAACACTACTCCAAAATGGCCAAAGATGGTAGAAACAGAAATCGTCCCCCGACAACTTCCTGAAACTATGTTTGCATACTCCTCCTGTGGAGGGACAAGCCCGACTTACACGTCGGTCGGAAGAAGTAGGTCAAAGCATGAAGTGGGAAGGCGGATAAAGTGGACTGGGTCCAGGCCCTCCCAGATAACAAGAGAACACAGCAGAATCATGCCGAGTCTTGGAGTAGGAAGGCGCTTTTGAAGTGGATTGGGATCTGGGCATCCAACAACACCTACTTCCAACGACCGGTGTGTGAGCATGGATGCAGGTAGCCCGGCTGCTCCGAAATGACCAAAGATGATAGAAACAGAAATCCTCCCCCGACAACTTCTAAAACTATGTTTGCATACTCCTCCTGTGGAGGGACGAGCCCGACTTGAGCATGGATGCGGGCAGCACGGCTGCCCTCTCTGGCCGAGGCGAGCGCACCCCGAGACCTGCTCAGACACGCCGCCCGTCTGGGGGGCTGCGCGCCCCATGGCCCCCCTCCCGGCAGCTGCCGGGAGCCCGGGGGCAGGCCGACCGGCCATCGCTTTCGGTTTCGTGCGCGGTTTCGTGCGCGGTTTTTTGTTTTTGTTCGGTTTCGGGCATTCCCTGTGTTTTTGTTGGTTTCGGGCGTGGTTTTTCCGCCAAATGGTCAAGGCTGCTCCTCGAGGGCCCTCGCCGAGGGAAAAATGCACAGGTCCGAGCGATGCCAGGCCGACGCCTGCTGCAGGGAGGACGGGGGGGGAGAACGGGAGGAGATGGGAGGGAGTGGGGAGGGGGGCGGGAGGGCGGAGAGCGCGCAGGAGGGGGGGGGGTGAAAGGCAGGGGGCGGGAAAGAAGGGCGGAGGAGGGTGGGAGGGGAGGACGGGCAAGGGGGTGGGAAGGACGATGACGATGACCTGTTCAGACGGCATGCTCGTGCGGCAACCTGCCCGGGGAGCGTACCCCGTAATCTCCCAGCGGCAGGTCAATTGGCCATAGCACCAGGTGCGCAACACCACCCCGAGGTCCGACGCCGCGGTAAGAAACGGCATCGCATCACCAGTTGCTGGAGCCCCGGACCCCCTCCCCCTGCGGCATTCCCCGAGCCGCATCGATCCGTGGGGGCACCGCGACACGAAGCCATGCGCGAGCCCGCCCGGCCCGAACCGACGTGCGACGCCAGGACCTCGGGGATCTGGACGCCCGAAAGGGATACCGAAAAAATGGGTACGATGCCCAACAACAAGTGCTGTCCAAAACCGACAGCGGCCGCTGTTGGGCAGGTGGCTCTTCGTCGTCCATGAACAACGTCCGCGGCGGTTCGGACAGCGAGTCCTGTTCAAAATGAACGGAACTGCAGTGGAGCATCCTGGCCCTGCTTTCCGTACACCCATGAGTCGGGCCCGTCCCTCTACAGGAGGAATGTTCAAAAATAGTTTTTTTGAGATAATCTGGGGACTATTTTTGGAATAGTTTTTGACCATTGCGGCATATTCTTGAGCACTTCTCAGCTTTCGGCGCCAATCCCCCCGCAGGGGGGCACGCCCGACTTACGTGTAACCCCCTTCGACCGCCCCGACGGGGCGGCGAGCCGCAGGCCAACAGCGCGGCGGGACACCCCCGGGGCGGCTCCGCCCTCCCGGGCGCCCCGCGCCGGCCGCGGCGGGCGCAGGCCCCGAGCTCACGCGGAGGCCCGCGCCCTCGCCCTCTTCCCGGGCGCGGCCGCGGCTGGCCGCAGGCGGCACCTGTCTCGGGCGAGCGGCCACTGGCAACCACAGGGTGGGGAACGTACAGTTCGGGGCTCCGGAGCCCAGACCCCCTCGCGCTGTGAGGAGATCAGGATCCGGGAGGTCATTCGCCGTTTTTGGCCTCCGGGGGCCCTCACCGGGCCTCGGGACCGTCGAAAAGCGACTCAGGATGGAAAACCGGTTCGAGGGAAAGGGTCCAGACCTCTGCGGGTCGACATCGCGAAAAATCACGACGTCGGGTGTCTGGGAGGGATGATAAGCTTTTCCGGGCAGGTTTCAGCATAGAGGACGAGGAGGAGGAGGAGGAGGAGGAGGAGGAGGAGGAGCGCACGTACCCTCTGAGATGCGTCCATGGAAGGTCACACTCGATGAGAATTAACACTCAGCTGTCTTCCAGACCTGAGAGAGGATGAGGCACGAGGGACAGCAATGGCAGGAGCAGCACGGCGCGGCGGCTGCCTGGTGGAAGCTCTCGCTGGCGAATTGGTGTCGATACGCGTCAGGGCTGCATGCCTGGCGCGAAACGACGTGGTGTAGGATCCTTGGAGGTGCGTGTTCGAAGCGAGCTCGCACCTTAATTTATGATAGATATGAAACGCAAGGACAGAGAGATGATTACACCAACAGATATCGATGGGATCATACTCACAAGCTACATTATAGGCGGATGGAGGTCCTAGCCCGAGACGGATCAGCGGGTCCTGGGGGATCACCGCGCGTGGGAGGGCACACAAGTGAGAAAGACGAGGGCACCGAAGGTAGTGGCCGACCGAGTCAGGGGCGCATACTTCGATCCCTAAGACCTCCTCACTACAACCGAAACGGCACCCCTTGGGCGTCAAGATTCCTACACGCGAAGAAGTGATCCACGCTCCCGCGAGGGTCTTGACATGGGGCCAGACAAACGAGGGGGGGCGGGAGGACAGCACAGCTTTAAGAGCCGACCAACGATTGGCAAGCTCCGGAGCATCAGGCAGCTGCTGATCAAACATCCACTTCGGCAAGCGACGAGAGAGAAGTTTAGGAATGGAGTCGGGGAACAGATCAGCGAAAAGAGACCGAAGGAGACGTGTCTGTCTGCTGGGGCCAGCTCTTTTCCGCCGACACTCTCCGTCGTCCGCGGCAGGAGCGATCGGCAGCTCCGCGGCGGCCTCAACGGCACGACGGAAAATCGACCGAGGGATTCGCGACATCGTGACGAGGGACCGTTTCGCCCTCGCCCGAAACGCCGTCGGAAATTCGTGCAGCGGCTCCTCAAGAGCCATACAAAAAGGGCAATCGAGACACGACGTTTCCAAAACCACGGCGACCACTCATGGCGCACAAGGTCTACCATCGTTCCGAAATCCTCCGCCGCCGTCCTCAGCCGCTCACCGACGACCCTCCATCCTCCGAGCGTGGTGTGGCACGCGCGCCACGCGTTGGCTATGCATGAAAGCTCTGCTGGCAAGGGCGCGGCCGACGGCGTCCACCGACCTAGCCCCAGGAGCTCCTCGATGCGAAACGAATTTGGGGGAATGCGAAGCAGCTTGTGCAGCGCCAAGCTTTCCTTGGGGAGGAGGTGGGGGTCAGGAGGAAAAAACTGGGCAACATACGAGAGGCACGGAAGGACAACCATAAGGTAGAGACGGCAGGAGGCCTCAGAGGGGGCCCGAGACAATGCAATCTCTCGGCACCGAGACCACCATTTCTGGCCAGGAGCTTTCCACTGGGACCGAAGGTCGGCCGCAGGGCCGAGCCAAACCCCGAGGTACTTCGCAGCGCCCGCGATTTTAAAATTTTCCCACCCTGGGGCTACCGCAGCGAGAGCCTCCCTCGCACGGCAAATCGTCGGCTCATCACACGGGGCCCAAAGAGGCACGAAACAACACTTGCTAGGCTGAAGCTGAAGTGAAGCTACTTGCTCGGTTTGCTCGAACGTGCGGTGCATATGCTTAGCACTCTGGATGGTCATCGCGACCGCGCCAACATCGTCGGCGCACCCCCCGAGGGCCCCCACTTGCTCCGAAGGAAACGCCATGGCCAGACAACGCACCCAGGGATCGAAGACGAGCGCCCAGAGACTCCCCCACAGTGGACACCCTTGGGGGGCGCCTGACGTGATAGAAAAACAAAAAGAGGCTCTACATTTTCACCCACGCGGGCGTGTCCGAGGGTGCCGCGTGCCAACCCGTCGAGCATGTTGTAACAGGAGGAGGGGGGGCGAAACCGCTCAAGCGTGCGACGGAGGAAAAGTTGAGACATGCTCGGGAAGGCAGCACGCACATCGAAACTAAAGAACCCTGGGAGCCACTCGGCCGCCGCTGGAAGGCGCCCCGCCCGCCGACACTCGGCATCGAGCGCAACAATGTGATCGCCGAACTTCCTTCCAGCAACGAACCCCTTCTGGGCTCCATGGGTATCTCTAGCTACGACACCAGCTAGATACAGGTTGACCGCAGCGGCCACACCTTTACTGTCCGATTTTTTAAAGGCCAGGGGCCTCGTGCACTCAGGAGACCTCGCGCAGTCCACGAGGTCCGAGGGCTCGTCGCCCTTGGGCAGGAACGCCAGCAAACAATCGTTGAAGTGCTCAGGCGGCCGCCGCCCGCTAGCCATCTCCTCCAAGACCCTGTGCAGCACCATGGTAAGCTGCGGATGGCCACGCCACGCACGAGCTGGAAGTCGATCAGGTCCAGGAGCTGAGTCCTTCGCCCGCTTGAAGACGAAGCGGGGGTTGTCGATTGTGGGCATATGCAGCGTCGCGTCGTCGAGCTCGGGCATGCGACGGCCCAGGAAGGGGGCCGATCAAGTCCTCACGAACAGGGGAGGCCGTGAAGGCGGGCTCCCAGTGCCTCTTCAGCGCCTCGACCATGGCACTGGCATCACGCACCACCTCGACCTCCTCAAGGGCCCGCGCCCCCTGCGCCGCCACTTCGTGGCCATTTTCTTCCCGCCCCATGCTGGGCTTCTGGCCCTGCCTCACGCCAGCCAGGATCAGCATCCGCTTGGTGTTGTTCCACAGAAGCGCCCGCTGCACCATCACCGTCGCGCTCCGCTTGGCAATGCGGCCTGCTCCCTGACGTTCCAGCGCAGCAGCTTCGCGATCCAACATGGCAGCTCGCTTCCTTCACCCGGGTGTGGAACGAGTCGGGCTGCCTCAGCTTCGCCTCGTGCCCATCGATGTAGAGCTCCCTCTCGCCGACGATCGCGCGGTTGATCAACTTCTTGGCAAGCCGCGCGCCCTGGCGCCGCACCGCGCGAGCCGCGGCACCAAAAGCCAACAAGGTCGCCCTTTTCGGGATATCGCCTTCTCCTGTGACCTCCTTGGCCAGGAGTTCGTTACGCGCAGTCTCCGCCGCCACCGTCATAAGCTCCTTGATCACCTCCCACTGGCGGTACGGGTCCATCATCTCGTAGTTGCAACCATCGATGCACCTCTCGAGGGCAGCACGGTACTCGTCGCTCTTGAAGATGAAGAACGGGATGCGCTGGTGGGCCGGAGCAGGCGACCGTCGAGTAGCCATCCGAAGTTTGATGATAGCATGGTCGCTCAGCTGCTTGGCATTCAAAGTGAAAGCGTCCTGGATCACCTCCACGTCCACCTCGGTCTCAATGGCGAAGGCCGGCTCGATGGAAACAAAGAACCGATCAATAGTCCTCAAAGTATTGTTATCAGCAGTGTAATGGGTCGGGATTGGAGAACAGACCTCAAGCATCGCCGCATCGTTGAAGAGCTCACGCCAGAACGGCTCCGAACGGTTGGCTCGGCCTGCCTCTGATCTCCTCGCTTGTTTCGGTTGTGGATACAGAATGGACTCCGTCGGCACATCGGTCATGTTGAAGTCACCGCCGACAATGAACGTGTGCTTCATCGGGTCGCGCTTCGACCAGGCGATGCATTCCTTCCAGACCCGCTTGATCTTGGCACGACCCGCCTCCGAGATATCGTAATTGTGAATATTCATGATGCGGAACTCGCCCTTTGTCACAGGGTTCTCGATGCTGGTCACGATGGCCCTGCCATCCTCCAAAGTGCGATGACGGAGGCGAGGGAGTCCCGCAGCACCAGCAGCCGCCACAGTGCGCGCGTCATACCATGGAATCAGGATCGCCACTCCGCCTGCACTGGGACGGTCCGTCCCCGAAAAATGCATCTTGCAGTTCACGTTAAACTGGTTCAGGTAGTTGGTCAATGTGATTTCGAAGCCATGGACCTCTTGAGTGATAACGACGTTACGCTTGCGAAGAAGGTCAGCCACTAGTGCAATTTTGCGGCGACGCCGAGCAGGATCCCGACGTAGCAGAAGGCCGTGGGCATTCCAGCAGACAGTGCCGACGTGAAGCGAAGATGCCTGGAGCTCCCACGGCGCGAAGCGCTGGCTAGGAACACGTCCAATTTGATGTGTCAACCTCCTTCCGAAGATTTTTGAATTCAGTACCAACTGCTTGCCAATCGATGCCGGGCCGCTCTGCCGCCTGCGTGTCCCACGCCAACTTCGTAGCCTCATCGGGGCCTTGAACCTGTACCGAGACAATCGCTGTCTGGCCGACGTAGACCAGTCCTTTGGGTCTCCGAGCCCAGCACTCCGTAGAACGCGTGCTGGCCACCGTTGAAGACGCCGCAGCTGTCCGGACCAATCCCAGAAGCTTTTTGGTCTGAACCTCCTTCCGTATGTCCTTCGCATTCTTGTCAGGGTTGACGTACAGGGAGACGCGAGCTCCACTGACAGCGAGCACCTCGAATTGGCGCCAGCCTTGGTTGTTGGGCAACTTGAGGGATGTCTGCAAGGCATTGGCTCGGGCAACTCCAGCGGCTCCTCCAACACACTGCAAGATGAACTTCTTCTGCGGGGTGTCGCCCACCAATCGCAGCTGGTCCCTGGAGACGTTGGCCGCCTGCATCCACTCAGCAAGTGCATTGAAGATGTCATTCGGGGCAGCCGCCACGTCGCTGGAAAGAGTGAAGACCGAAAGATCGATGGTGCGGTTCCACTCCATGAGCTTGGCAACGTCGATGGGCGCTGCCACCTGCTGCTCGGCGATGGCCAGGGTGTCCTGGAGCTGCTTGACCGACGCCTTGAGGGCCTCCTGCTCTTGGCTAAGCTCCTCATTCTTGGCTTGAACCACCCGAAGCTGAGCCTGCTGCCTGTCGAGGCGCTCCGAGTGGGGCTGGAGCTGCGTCGCCACCATCGTGCCCAACTCCTCACGAACAGACTGCATCGTGTCCTGGAAGGTGGTCTCCATGTACTTGGCCATGTGGCCTCTGAACTGCTCCATGTGTTTGTTGATGATGTTGTCGGCAGCACCTCCATCTGGGCCACCGCTGGGAGCGCTGGCTCCCGTCGCGACGCCGTTGGGAGGAAGTCCTGCGGCTGCTCGATATTGTTTCCAAGGGTCCTGTTCCTGAAGATCGTCTCGCTCTCCTGCAAGATGAGCCCTGCGTTCGCCACTCCGACTCTTGGCGTCAGCGTCCTCGTCACTGCCGCCAGGACCAGCGCGGCCGCGGAGCACCATGGCAGTAGAGAAAAAAGATGCGTGGTGCGAAAGTGTCCGCTGGCACCCGACGTGCCAGAAATCCTTAAGAAACGTCGCCCGCTCTCGGCGCAGTCCCCCGCTACTGCTGCAACGGGACGGAGGGGCCTTGAGCCAAAATGGCTTGAGCCGAAATGGCTACGGAGGAGGAGGGGGAGGAGGAGGAGGAGTGTTTCGGGGCGTACGGATGTACGGAGTGTCCCATGGTATGACGGTGCCGTACTGGCTCTTGCAGGGGCTCCCTGGAGAGTAGGACTTCTGAGAAAGGCGATAGTCTCGGGATGATAACGTGCTCGCTCACCGCAGGGCCTTGCTGGAGGGGTGGGATGAATATAAAGTCCAGAGAAATACGATGGTATAACGATGACGTGCTCGCTCAGGCGGGGCATCCCTTCAGGTGTGGGAGGAGGGGTGGGAGGAGTAGGACGATCATCATGATACAACAATAATATATATATATATATATATATATATATATATATGTACGATTGAAGCTTTCCCCGATGATGATGACATTCGGCCCCGCCGCTCCGAACCACCGACCATAACTGTCTTGGCCAGAGATGATCAACACTCAGGTGTTAAAGGATACTGTATTTTTTAGGGGCACGGGACTCCCCCTCATCCGCGCCGCCGCGGGGTCCTCCAGGGGCGCGACCCCGTGGATACTCCCCTGAGACCCTGGCGTCGCAGAGCTTCCAAGCCTGGCGTCTTCGCTGGAGCTCGGCTCGGTTCCGGGCCGCGGGACCCGCACAGATCGAGCTGGCTCGAAAAATGCCGCAGGCAATAAGGCCCATGGGGAGATGAAAAGGTACCGATGCCGCTACTCCCTGGACCTCCCTGACCAGGATCTCGAGGCGCGAATCCAGCGGTGGCGACGAGGGCCTCCCAGGAGGCCCCAACCGGCGAAAACGGGGCGGTGGGAGTGGCATCGGCGCCTCTTCCTCCTCCAGGTCCAGAGCTCCGGTAGTGCTCCTTCACGGTGCTGCAGCGTGTCGCTGCGAGGCGGGAATTTATACATGACCACAGCCTGGAGGGTCAGTTCTCGGAGCCTCGGCAGGCGGTGGATATGGACATATTGGGGCCCCCGGGGGCCCCTATATATATATATATATATATTATATATCTATATATATATATATGTATATATATATATATTATATATATATATATATCCACCGCCCGCCAGGGCACCAGGACGTCGGTTCCCCAGCGGCAGAGACGGACAAGTCCCCGCCTCGCAGTCGCGACGTCGGATCTCGGGGCTTCTCGCAGAAAAGGGCCTGCGCGAGGAAAGGGCGCCCGCGTCCGTCGGGCGCCGCAGCCTAGGACTAAGTCGGGCGTGACCCCCCACAGAGAGATTTTCGACGACAAATTAAAAATACCAAACAAAACATCCCAAACGGTCCATATGTATATATATATATATATACAAGTGGCACGTGTGTGCCCAGGCTGCTCATACAACAAGCTGAAGGGGCGTTTGAAGCAGGAGTGACATGCAACAGCGAAGTCGCACTCGAGCGCAAGTGGGGTTGCCACACCTTGCGATGTGTGTACCAGGGCCCCCCAGGAAGCCTCAGGAGGCCCGACTTGGATACCAGAAGAGGCTCCAGGAGGCCCCAGGATTGTGAGTGTTGTGTGTGTGATGTGTGCTTTGTGTGGTGCGTGCTTTTTGTGTGTTGTCGGTGTTGTGTGTGTATGTTATGTTTGTCTAGCGTGTGATGTGTTGGGCGTGATTTGTGTCTCTGTGTGTGCATGTAGTTCTGAAGCCCCAGGAGGCCCCAGGAGGCCCCAGGCGGCCTCAGCAGGCCCAGGAGAACTCCAGGAGGCTCCGAGGCGGGGTCTGGGGTACCAGAAGGTCCAGAAAGCCCCAGGAGGCCCCAGGAGGTTCCAGGAGGCCCCCAGGAGGCTCCGAGGAGGGGTCTGGGGTTCGATTTTGGGAGGATGTCTCAGGCGAAACCGCCATTCTCTGAGAATCGGGGTCAAACTTATTGAAATTACCATGTGTGTTTGAAGGTTGTATGTTAAAATGTTGAAATTCCCATGTGTTTTTGGACCTCTCCTTCACGATCTGCGTGAGGGGTGCCACCGATTTTCAGAATTTCGAGGATGTCCCGGGCGAAACGGCCAGAAAAATCAAAGACGGACGCACGCACGGACGCATTAATCCCCTCTGAGCTCTACTCCCTCGGAGAGGTGCGTATGAGAATATATGTATATATACTCAACAAAATAATCACCCGACTAGTTTTGACTAGTCTTTGATATTCCCCCTGTCGAGGGACAGGCCCGACGTAAGCCTACAGGAGGCCAGCCCGCGAGAGGCCGCGGAGGCGCGTGTGCTTCCCGCCCCCGCGAGCCTGGGCGGCGCGTCGCCCTCGGGCGAGGGCGCCGCGCGCGACGCCGTGTCCGCCGCCGTGGACGGGCGCTGCTCCGCGCCGAAGCACTCGCCGAAGAGGGACGCCTTGTCCTGGGGATGGGCAGACCCCCCTTTATAAAGGGGCCCCAGGACACACAAGTAAATACACACAAATAAAATGTTTCCCCATATTTTCCCATATTTTTAGGGTTTTCGTCTTCCCCCCCACTTCCCATATGTTCCCATATCTTCCTGGGAATCGACGATTAATTGTGCCTGTGTGTTTTTTCCCCTCCTGATTGTCCTGGGGATGGGCAGACCCCCCATTTAGTAAAGCGTGGTTCAGTGAAAAAGACCTCGGGCCCAAACCTGGCGGGCGCAGGCCTGGAAAATAGCGGCCGCGGCGCCCCCTCGAGAACCGAAAAACGGACAAGTCACCAATCGACGTGTCAGGGTAGGAGGTCTGCCCACCCCCGACTTGTCCCGAGGGCGCACGGGGGAGCCGAGCGCGCGAGGGGGGCGCCCCGCCGGGGTGCAGATGAGGGGCAACGGTAGCCTGGGGGGACCGCCGATTCGAGCAGGGGATCGATGACAGGACCGAGTCGCCCTCCGAAAATGGATTTTCTCGTCGAGACCAGGAGAAAAGATGCGTATAATCGTAAGTAGATCTACAGAGCAGTGTGGGTTTGTTTCGTCGATTCGACGGGGAATCTATTTTGGGGTAAATCGATTCTGTAGTCGATCTCCTACTCGAACATAGGGGGGGGAACATCGACCTCGAATCGGCGATGCGTCGCCGACAAGTCGGCAATGTAATGTATGCCCCCGGCAGTGGATCCGCACGTTCCTGGGCAGGTTGTGGCTCTCGGGCCCCTATCGGCGATCAATGGGCGACTGCTCTGCTGCATCCCGAGGCCTCCAGTGACGAATTGAAAAACACACACACACCTATGCCAATAGGGGGGACGGAGGGGGCTATATACGTATTGTCGGATGGGGGTCTCCGCTCGAACGGAAGCCTCCCACGCGGTCCGACAACCCGCACCCATATCCATAGCCAGTCCTTCTCCCTCCGATCTCCCGATGGGTATGGGTGTGTGTTGTTCGTTCGTCATCCAAAGAGCTCCAAACCCAAATCTCCGACGATGGGACTGTTTTTCAATATGGGCGCCTTTCGTTAACTCTGGCCTCCGGGGGCGTTCCCCGGCCCCGGGACCATCAGAGATAGATCTGGGGCGAAGAACTGGTGAAGACCTCTGCAGAGGACCGCGGATGGCACACACAAAAACCACATCGTACTGGCAGACCCCCGGAAACGCCCCCGGGAGGGGAGAAGGCGACCGGCTCGGAGCCGGCGCCCGTGGTGTTCTGAGCTCTGGTGCCGTCGCGCGCTGAGCGGTGCTGCAGCCTCCCGTGAGCACAGCCCCCCCCCAGAGCATCATCCAGACAGGTCAGGTTTGCACCCTCATGCCTTGCTGGACTCTGGGCGCATTTCGGCACTGCCACTGCCGCCGCCACCCCGTCAGAGCCACCGACTCGGGTGACGGCGAAAGTGACGGTGGCGGTGGCCGACGCGCCCAAGAGCCAAGAAGCTCTAAGCGCCGTGGCTCCGAAAGCCGGGAAGATGGACCGACGGACGGATAGCCAGGCGGTGTGCAATGCTAGTCCGAAGGGGGAAGGGATGATGCCGACAAAGACGAAGACGAAGACGATGGCAACGGCGACGCAGACGGCGACGGCGACGGCGACGGCGACGACGACGACGACGACGACGAGGACGAGGACGAGGACGGCGGCGGCGGCCGGCGGCGGCGGTGGCGGCGGCGGCGGCTTCGGCGGCGGCGGCGGCGTCGACGGCGGCGACGACGACGACGACAGGGGCGGCCGCCACCAGCTGCGGCGACGGCAGGGGCGACGGAGAGATAGGGCCCTGCATGTCCTGCGACCTCCCGCTGCTGCGGCCGCCGCGGTAGCCCGCCGGGGACCGGCTGCGCCCGGGGCTGCTCTGGCCACCTGCGGGTGGGAACCTCCGAGGTTCTCGAGCATCCTCCGATCTGACTCCTATACACCGTCTCCCCGGGCCCAGCTTCTCGCCGCGGACCCATTTCTGATGGCCCGGGGGGGCCGCAAGCGGCCCACGAGGGACGAGATCGAGGAAAAAACATAGGGCTTGAATTGTGCGGCAACTCATGGGAGCCTCCCATCATATGCCATCTTGATGCCTCTTGCGAATCGACGCTGGTCGACGCCAATCGACACTAAATCGACGCTAGGCTAATCGACGCTAAATCGGCGCTACCTCATCGATTACCAGACGCAAATCGACGCCAGTGCACTCCACAGACGGAATCATACGAGGGTGCATTGCGGGCGTGGCCGCAAGAAACCATGAGAGAAACCCAGCCCTGAAAGTCCGCAGTCGGGTTGCGGCGGGGGGGAAACCGAAGGCACCTTGAGCGAAGCAGCTCCTCAACGCCCGCGGGAAGTCACTGCGCAGCGAGGCGCAGCAAAGAAGCCCAAGAAGCACCCCGACGAAAAGCAGGGGGCTTCACTTGCTGCGCGCCCCCACTGGGAGGCTCCCCTGACGCTCTGCAGGATCATGCCGTCGGATACATCTGGGCCGAGGGCCTGGATTCGGGGGCGGCCAAGGGGAGGAGGAGGGGGAGGGTGGGGGGAGGAGGAGGAGGAGGAGGAGGAGGAGGAGGAGGAAGAGGAGGAGGAGGAGGAGGAGGAGGAGGACGAGGAGGAGGAGGAGGTCAACCGCACCGAACTGGCACCAGGGCTCGGACGGGCTGCGCCCCGAGCGCTTCTCTTGCGGAGTCCCCCCCCCCCGCGCCCCTCGCCACCGGCGCCGCCGTGCGGCTCTGGCGACGCCGCCGCGGGGTCGCCGGCCTCTCCGGGGCAGCCAGGGCAGACAGACGGGGCGCTGACCTACGGAACCCCCAATAAGGAACGAGGCCCCACTTTTCCACAAGTTAAACTTCGATCTCCCATCGAAAACCAAAGCAAAACCCAAAGCAAACTGTGAAGCAATCAAGGAACACCGAGCCCCTCCCAAACGAAAAGGGTTCCTTCTTCAGCGCCCCGACAGTATATGGAGAAGGGCCCGCACCACCACCGCCACCTGGAGGATGGCGGCAGAGGGTGGTCGGGGGTGGTGGTGGTGGTGTGGATCGTTTCGAGAGCTCTCGCGGAGCATCATGCACAATGCACACCTGAATCTCGCACATCAGCTCATCCTGAGTCCCGCCAGATGGTGGTGGTGGTGGTGGTGGTGGTGGTGCGCTTCCTGCTCCCAACGGGGCCCCGCACGAGGGAGCCCAAACAAAGACGTACGCGCCCAACCACGTACCTGAATACGGCCCCCAGTCCGCGAGACCAGCCTCGTGGCACGAACGTTCGCGCAATGCGCACCTTCGAAACCAGCGCGCGGATTCACGTACGTGTACATCCTGCTTTCGCTCCAGACACACGGGCGGCGGTGTGCGAACGAACACTGAGAAAAACAGAACACACACACAACATCAGCGTAAGCGTGCGGAGCTCCCCACGGATCTCTTGGATCGGCACCGGACCCCCCGGGCAGCGCCGTCGGCGGAGCTCCAGCAGCTGATGTTTTTGTGAAGGCTCCGTCCTCGGCGACAGGTGCCGGTGCTGCTGCAGACACATGCGACCAGGCATCTCGCTGTCAGAAATCCGGGGGCACGCGTGTCGTCGAGCTTTGACGAAGGGGCCCCAGGACACACAAATAAACACACACAAATAAAAATATTCCCCATATTTTCTTATACTTTCTGGGTTTTTTGTCTTCCCCCCCACTTCCCATGTTTTCCCATATGTTCTGGGGAATCGACGATGAACTGTGTCTGTGTGTTTTTTCCCCTCCTGAGTGTCGTCGAGCTTTGAGCTTGCCGTGGTGCCCGCCTCTGTGGGCCCCCGCGGGGCAACCGGGGGGCACGAGAGGATTTCGTGGGCCGCCTGCCGGCAGGTCGGCCTCCATTATCTGGCGTGCTTGCCGTGCCACTGCTCCCTGGGCCTCTCTCTGCAAGGGTGCGTGCCGGCCAGGCTTTCGCGGCAAATCCAGCCATCAGCGAGCGAAGAACGGTATAAAATAATCTTTTTCGCCGTCGGCGACACCTGCCCCAGGGCGGCTGGAAAGTTTATACCCTTCCGGTGGCACCGTAGGGGTATAAACTTTCCAGCCGCCCTGGGACAGGTGTCCCCGACGGCGAAAAAGTTTATTTTATACCGTTCTTCGCTCGCTGAGTGCCACTGCTCCCTGGACCTCTCTGCAAGGGTGCGTGCTGGCCAGGCTTTCGCGGCAAATCCAGCCATGGCGACGAAGGAGCGGCAGCGGGATCGGTACAGTGGAGGCCAGTCCACAAGAAACCTTGACAAGAAACCCAGCCCTGAGACCCCAGGACGTCCATTGTTTTTTGATGGTTTTTTGGTGTGGGAGCGTCACGCTTTCCATGGCAAAACCATCGGAGCCCAAGAAACCCAGGGCACCCTGGAGGCAAGCAGAGTGCTCCTTGACATGGGTCTCTACTGTACCATCTCCTCCCCTGGGGCGAGCAGTGCTCAAATTTGGCCCCCAGGACCCTCGAGGCTCAAGGTCCGTATGTCTTGGACATGCCTCCGAACCAGGAGAGGGGAGAGGGAGAGAGAGCGAGAGAGAGAGAAGGAGAGAGAGAGAGAGAGAAAACCAGGGCAGAGGAGCAGACCAAGTCCCCCGAAGCGCTGCCGCTCTCGCTGTCCCCGCGGCCTCGGCTTCGGCCCCGCCGCGCAGGCGTGCCCCTCGCAGGGGCGTGGCGGTGGCGAAGACGCGGCGGCGCTCCTCCTCCGCCCTGTCGGCCTCGGCGGCGCCGGGGATGAGATGCCGGCGCAGGTTGCCGAAGCTAGGCAGGATGCTCGTGACCACATTCTTCACCCGCGGGTGCGCGCTGGCCGCGGGGTCCGCAGCCTTGCCGTCGGTGTCGACACCGTCGAGGCTCTCCCCGAGCAGCTCGGCCGCAAAGCGCACCATCTCGGGCTCGGACTCGAGGCCCCCGAAGAGCACCTGCAATGCCCTCTTCAGCTCGTCGTCGTCTGAGGGCACCTCGTCCGTCACGCGGCCGAGGAGCCGGCGTGCGGCGAGGATGATCTCCGACGGGGGCAGCTCTGCACTTGCCATCTGCTGCAGCTGGCGGCCCAGGAACACCCAGGCGGCGGGCAAGCGCGGGCCCTCCTCCGCAGGGCGCAGGGCGTCGGCGGCGCGGGCCCACCGCCACAAGTGGTCCTCCAGCGGCGCGCGGGTGGCGGCCGCGCTGGCGGCCTCGGCCTCCCCTGCAGCGCGGGCCGCTGGCCTCAGCACCGCGAGGCACTGCGTGGCACTGAGCGCCTCCAGCAGGCGCTGGTGCACCTGCAGCGCGCAGTCCACGTCCGCCGGCAGCGCCGCGCCCCTCGCCTTCTTCTTCGGGGGCTGCCCGGGGCCCCCGCAGGCGTCGGCGGCAGCCTCCACTGCCTCCAGCGCGGCCGCGGACTGCTCCGAGGTCAGCTCCCTCGCCAGCCGCAGCACCACCGCCCCCACGGGGGCAGCTGGCGGCCCGGCAGCCGCGTCCTGCAGGGCCTCCGTGCTGCCGGGCTCCCCGGCGTCGTCTGGCGCGGAGCTGCGAAGGTCCACGTGAAGCGACGCTCGGACCACGAGGCCGAGGAAGCGCGGCCACGTCTCCGCGGCGGGGCCGAGCAGCTGGGGGTCCCTGCCCCCCGCCGCCCCTGCGCGCAGCCCTGCGACGCCAGCCGCCCAGGCAGCGCCCAGGGCTCTCGACAGCTGCTCGGTGGCCTCCGCCAGCGGAGCCGCCATCGCGGGCATCGCCGCGGCGCGGAGCTCCGGGTCCCGCAGCAGAGCCTCCACGGCGGCGGCCGCCCCGCCCGCGTCCTGCTCCACCTGCTTGCGCTGCTTCAGCCGTTTGGCGGCTGCAAGCAGGCGCTCCCACGCAGGCTGCACCGAGCTCACCAGAAGCCCCCAGCGCGCCGCCGCCCGCATGAGTGCCAGCAGCCGGGACGGCGCGGCCTCGCCCAACTCGCCGCCCCCGCGGCAGGCCAGCTCCAGCTCGCTGGTCACGAAGCGCGCGGTCTTCGGCAGGCGGGCCGGGTCGAGCGGCGAGAGCGCAAAAAGCAGGTCCTCGCGCAGCCGCGCCGCTTCGCCGCAGTCGCTGTCGTCCTGGGCCCCCTGCAGCAGGTGCAAAAAGCTCTTCTCCTTGATGTGCTCGTACACGAACTTCTCCAGCTCCTTCGGGATCCTGCTTCCGTCGGCCGTCTCCCGGGCCTGCGCGCCCTCCAGCAAAACGCCCACGGCCCGGAGCGTTGTGGCGAACATCTTCGGCGGCGCGCCCCCGTCAGCCCAACTGGCGCCGCCGCGCGCGGCCCCCGCCGCCTCGCGGAGGCCACACTGGAAGAGGGCCGCACCGAGCTTGACCCTCTCGTGCACGGGCGTCACGTCCCGGACGTGCGTGAGCAGCGCCAGCAAAGCCAGCGGCCAGTGCTGCATCAGGTAGCGGCAGCGGGTGACCTGTTGGACGATGTCCTGCTGGAACAGGGAGGGCGCCATGAGCCTCGCCAGCAGCCGCGACACGACCTCGGGCGACTCTGGCCCCAGGCCCGCCTTGTTGCAGCTCTGCATCCCACGCTGCAGCCTCTCGGCCACACCGTCGGCGTGCGCGTGCGCGAGCCGGGTCAGCAGCGCCTCGTTGCCCACCACGTTGGTGACCGAGACGCCGCGGCACTGGCTGACTATGTTCAGCAGGCCGACGAAGGCGGCGCACACGACGGGGGACCTGTCGTTCAGCAGCTCCGCCGTCTGCGGCAGCACCGCCGCCATGGTCGGGTGCGACAGCGCGTTGTCGAGGATGCAACCGAAACCCTCGAGTACCGCAGCGCGCACGGCCGGCGCCTTCTTGTCGTGAGAACACTTATCCATCAGGATGGTGAGCATGTCCGCGATGTCCGCCGGAGGTATGATGTCCCAATAGTTCTTCAGAACGACGCACGTCGACTCCACCCCGGCTCGGCGCACGCTCTCGGTGGGATCCTCGAGGGTGCCCCTGAGAAGCCGGATCTGCCTGGCTAGCTCGGTCTCCTTCTCTGCGAGACCTATGCAGGGACGGAGGACTGGGAATAATATGATCTCGCCAGGCAAGGGCTGCGGGGCAGCCGCACTCCCCTCAAGCCAGAGACAGGGGCGTAGCAGGGCAAGGGCTGGACGGGGCTGGCCGAGGACACCAGGGAATCCCACCACGCCAGGGCCAGGGGATTGTCGAAGCATGGGCCAGCAGCGGACCGCCGCACCTCCCGCTATGCCGAGGCTGGGCGGGGCCAGCCGATATCCCGCCACACTTGCTTCGTGGCCACGCGGATCTACAAATTCGGGGGAGTTGTCTCGTAACGCCAGTCAGCGGGCCAACTCCGGCTGGCAGTCGGTCGTGAGGGAGAGGCGATGTGGTTTTGCAGCACCTTGCTTGCACCTCATAGCGTACACCACATCGCGCACCCCGTGGCCGACTGTTCGTCGTTCATCTTCAGTGAGAATCACGTGGCTGCCATGTGCAGGTCGTCTGGATCTAATTTCTGGAGTCGAGGCCTCGTGTGTCCAATGATTCCCAGTGCGCAGACATGTATAGATTAGCCAGCGTGGACCCCACACAGTGTGTTCTAGCATGCGATGCAAAGCAAAATATGCGGTGCAATCTATGTTGGTCCATCTGTGAGGTGCAATGCACTAGGTGCGGAGTAATCAATGTGGTGCAATGTATGCGGTGCCACGTATATGGTGCAACCTATGTGATGATATGCGAGATGTAGATATATACATGTGTCTTGTGAACTCTATGTGTTGCAATGTCTTTGGTGCAACGTATGTGGTGCAACGTAATAGGTGCCATCTAGGCGGCGCAATCTACGTGGTGCAATCTATGTGATGTAATTAATCCACTTTGACCGTCTTGAAGCTGTCCTCTCCACTGCTCGCGCAAACATCCCACCCACCCACCCGCAACTTGGTTTGCAAAACCATTCAAGACCGATTACGACGACACCGACGACGACTAGGACGACACCGACGACTTCTCCGACGACTTCGACGACGACAACGACGCCGACGCCGACGACGACGATGACGACGACGACGACGCCAACGAAGGCGACAACGAGGGAGGAGGACGGACGACGACGGCGACAACGACGACAACGACGACAACGACGACAACGAAGAGGGAGGAGGGAGGACGGCGACGACGCGAACGACGACGAAGGAGGAAGGACGGCGACGCCGACGACAACAACGACGAGGGAGGAGGGAAGACGACGACGACAACGACGACGACGACGGCGACGAAATAGGAGGGACGACGACGAGACGCCGACGACGGACGACGACGACGACGTGGGAGGAGGAGGAAGGACGACCACGGCGACAACGACGACGAAAACGACCACGACGCCAAAGAGGACGACGACGACGAATACGAGAAAAGACAGAGGACGACGTAGGCGACGACGACCACGACGACGCGGGAGGAGGGAGGACGGCGACGACGACAACGACGACGACGATGCAAGAGCGCGCGCGCACGCTTTTGTTGAAAATCCGTGTTGTGAAACCCTGGGTTTTTGTATGTTTTTTGGACGCACGATTTTGAAATCCTTCCGAAACCGGTGGGTTTTGAAGGTTTTCGGCATACGCCCGCGACGACGCGCGCGTCTGCACTTCGTCCCGTTTTTTGCAGGGGATTCTCGCGACGGCACACGCGCAAGGGCGTTCGACAGATTTCGACATGCGCGCCCGAAGCCCGTTTGGTAGCATTTTGTGAAAATCTTGAACAACCAATGGTTTTCTTAAGATTTCGCAAGAGCTCGCGCGGAAGCTTTTTTAGCACATCAATGTTGCGAAACCCTGTGTTTTTGTGTGTTTGTTTGGCAAATCGATTGCGAAATCCTTCCGGCACCGAGGGTTTTTGAAGGATTTCGGCATGCGCGCGCGACGTCGCGCGCGTGTGCACTTCGTCTCATTTTTTGCGAGGGATTCGTGAACAAGTGTTATGTTAGAACAAAAAATGTCACCGCATAGTGTTTTTTACCAGGGAACCTCAGGGGGGGATACCAGTTTGGCTGGGATGATATGATTTCATATTTAGGATGGACGAGTGTGCAGAATATATATATATATATATATATGTGAAATTATACTATCCCAAGGGGAAGCGTTAAGTCTGGGGGGGGGGTAGAGTCTATTATCTTTTTAGTCACTTTGACTGTCTTGAAGATGTCCTCTCCACTGCTCGCGCAAACATCCCACCCACCCACCCGCAACTTGGTTTGCAAAACCTTTTAAGACCGATTACGACGACACCGACGACAACGACTAGGACGACACCGACGACTTCTCCGACGACTTCGACGACGACAACGACGCCGACGCCGACGCCGACGACGACGACGCCAACGAAGGCGACGACGGAGGAAGGACGACGACGGCGACAACGGCGACAACGACGACAACGAAGAGGGAGGAGGGAGGACGGCGACGACGCCAACGACGACGGAGGAGGAAGGACGGCGACGCCGACGACGACAACGACGAGGGAGGAGGGAAGACGACGACGACAACGACGACGACGACGGCGACGAAATAGGAGGGACGACGACGAGACGCCGACGACGGACGACGACGACGACGTGGGAGGAGGAGGAAGGACGACCACGGCGACAACGACGACGAAAACGACCACGACGCCAAAGAGGACGACGACGACGAACACGAGAAAAGACAGAGGACGACGTAGGCGACGACGACGACGATGCGGGAGGAGGGAGGACGGCGACGACGACGACGACGACGACGACGACAACGCAAGAGCGCTTGCGCACGCTTTTGTTGAAAGTCCGTGTTGCGAAACCTAAGTTTTTGTATGTTTTTTGGACGCACGATTTTGAAATCCTCTCGAAACCTATGGGTTTTGAAGGTTTTCGGCGTACGCCCGCGACGACGCGCGCGTCAGCACTTCGTCCCATTTGTTGCAGAGGATTCTCGCGACGGCACACGCGCAAGGGCGTTCGACAGATTTCGACATGCGCGCGCGTCGCCCGTTTGGTAGCACTTTGTGAGAATCTTGAAAACCATGGTTTCCTTAAGATTTCGCAAGAGCTCGCGCGGAAGCTGTTTTAGCAAATCAGTGTTGCGAAACCCTGTGTTTTTGTATGATTTTTGGGAACTCGATTGCGAAATCCTTCCGGCACCGAAGGTTTTTGAAGGATTTTGGCATGCGCGCGCGACGACGCGCGCGTGTACACTTCGTCCCATGTTTTGCAAGGGATTCGTGAAAAAGTGCGATGTTAGAACAAAAAATGTCACCGCATAGTGTTTTTTTTTTTTTTACCAGGAAACCTCAGGGGGGGATACCGGTTTGGCTGGGATGATATGATTTCATATTTAGGATGGACGAGTGTGCAGAATATATATATATATATATATATATATATATGCGAAATTATACTATCCCACGGGGAAGCGTTGAGTCCGGGGGGGGTAGAGTCTATTCTCTTTTTAGAAAGGAGAATAAAGGAGAATCTAAATGGTGCAGTCTACGCAGTGCAATAATCTTGACCGTCTTGAAGCTGTCCTCTCCACTGCTCGTGCAAACATCCCACCCTCCCACCCGCAACTTGGTCGCAAGACCTCTTCAGACAAGACCGTGACGGTAGGTACCACATGGCACTTGGCCACGACACCGATGCCGACGACGACAGCGACATCGACGACGACGGCGCCGCCGACAGCGACTGCGACGACACCGACGACGTCTCCAATGTTTTCGACGGCGACAACGACGACGACGACGACCGACGACGACGACAACGACGCCGACGACGACGACGAAGACGACGACGACGTCGCCAACGGAGACGACGACGAGGGAGGAGAAAAAACGACGACGGCGACAACGACGACAACGACGATGGAGGAGGGAAGACGGCGACGACGCCAAAGACGAAGAAGGAGGAAGGACGGCGACGCCGACGACGACAACGACGAGGGAGGGAAGACGACCACGATGACAACGACGACGAAGACGACGACGACGGCGACGAAATGAAAGGACGACGACGAGACGCCGACGACGGACGACGACGACGAGGGAGGAGGATAACGACGAGGGAGGAGTGAAGACCACGACGACGACGACGACGACGACGACGACGACGACGACGGCGACGGCGACGAAATAGGAGGGACAACGACGAGACGCCGACGAAGACAACGAGGGAGGAAGGACGACCACGGCGACAACGACGACGGAAACGACGACGACGCCAAAGACGACGAGGAAAGAAAGAAGACGACTACGGCGACGACGACGACGACGACGAGGGAGGAGGGAGGACGACGACGACGACGACGACGCAAGAGCGCGCGCGCACGCTTTTGTTGAAAATCCGTGTTGCGAAACCTGGGGTTCTTGTAGGTTTTTTGGACGCACGATTTTGAAATCCTTCCGAAACCGATGGGTTTTGAAGGTTTTCGGCATACGTCCGCGACGACGCGCGCGTCTGCACTTCGTCCCATTTTTTGCAGAGGATTCTCGCGACGGCACACGCGCAAGGGCGTTCGACAGATTTCGACATGCGCGCGCGCGAAGCCCGTTTGGTAGCAGTTTGTGAAAATCTTGGAAAACCTATGGTTTTCTTAAGATTTCGCAAGACCTCACGCGGAAGTGTTTTAGCAAATCAGTGTTGCGAAACCATGTGTTTTTTGTATGCTTTTCGGAAACTCGATTGCGAAATCCTTCCGGCACCGAGGGTTTTTGAAGGATTTCGGCATGCGCGCGCGACGACGCGCGCGTGTGCACTTCGTCTCATTTTTTTGCAAGGGATTCGTGAAAAAGTGTTATGTTAGAACAAGAAAAGTCACCGCATAGTGTTTTTTACCAAGGAACCGCAGGGGGGGGATACCGGCTTGGCTGGGATAGTATGAATTCATATTTAAGATGGACATGTGGTCAGAATCATATGTAATATACAGCACGCGCGGGGTAACCGATAAGTCCGGGGGGGGTGTAGAATCTATTAGTCTTTCAGAAAGGAGAATCAAGCGCGAC